CAGGTGTGTCAACATCGCATCTCCACCGGGATGTTGTACTTTCAGCCATGGCCCGAAGCATGTATCCTCAAACATTTTTCTTTGTGCAGGTGAAAGCTTCGACGCAATTGTTTTGGCCAGGCTGACTTTATTTCTCAAGGTCAATTGAGCCGAATAAAAGTTCTACAAAAACAATAAACATACTAAATTAGATATACCAAAAACTACACTGTGAAGATATACCAAAAACAATAATAAACATAATAGTAGTAGTTTATTCTTCAAACTTAAATATGCAACACTGTGAATTTCGTATTTGTCTTTGTTTTTTGGTTGAAGTAATGCAATTCATTCAAGTTTCAATTTGCAGAAGAAGAATAGTTTCTGAAAATGAAAATCGCAACACGAAAATGACTATCGCAACGAGAGAATCGCAACGCGAAACTAAAATCGCGTTGCGATTTGCATTTCGCGTTGCGATTCTTGGTTGATTTAATAAGCAATCTAAGTGAAATGGTTAATCTATTATTTAAATTACCAGTAAACCTATCATCAATTTCAATATGAAAAACCTAATAATAATGCAAAAATTTCAAAAAGAAAATAATTAAAAAAACTAACACTCGTTGGTTGATTTGGTTGATTTTCCATTTCTGATTGTGAGGGTGGCTCTGAGAGATTTAGATAGACGGATTTCGCCGGAGATGGGGACGGATTTCGTCGGAGATGGGTGAGAGAGTGAGAGATGGAGATGGGACTGAGTTGTGATTTTAGGTTTTAGGTTATGAGTTGCGATTACGGGATATACTGTGGACAGTTCAGTGTTCCAATATATTTATATTCATGTTTGGAATTTAAAAATAAAATACTTGGCCAGGATACTAATGGCGCTTTGAAAATCGCATTGCGATTATGTATTATCGCGTTGCGAAAGTCAGTATCGCGTTGCGAAAGTAAGTATCTCGTTGCGATTTTTTATTATCGCATTGCGATAGTCAGTATCGCATTGCGATTTTCTCAATTCGCGTTGCGATTTACTTATTCGCATTGCGAATTTCCCAATTCGCGTTGCGATTTACTTATTCGCATTGCGAATTGGGAAAATCGTAACGATACTGTAGACCATCGCAACGCGATTTTCAACTATCGCATTGCGAAAATGCAACGCGAATTTGCGATAATGGAGATCGCGTTGCGAATTAGCGATCACATTGCGATTTTGTTGGTCATTTTGGCAAATCCAGAAAAAGTTGATTAAAATCGTATATTATATGGGATTTTTGGTCACTGAGGTTATTTTCTCTTATTATAATAATCCTTTTTACTAATATTATATTAAATTATAATAATCTAAGATATTATATTAATTATTTAAAGAAGAAAAAATAAATATCAAACGGCTGGACATAAATATAGATAAACATACCATTTTCTCTGGCCAATTCGCTTCTGTAGGGTTCTTAAAAAAAATATTAATTGAATTAAGATATCGTCAGAATTATTTTTTAAAATAATGTAAATGCTTTAATAATTAGAGAGTCGACAAAAATACGATGTGACATTAACGTGTAACGCAAAGACTACCATGAGACCTTGAATAAATGGGGGAAAACGCCAAGATCTCAATGCGTCTCCCCTCAGATGCATTGCACGTATGGAACTTTATATACTGCTCAAGGAAAGGGAAAAATATTAAAAAAATAATTGCAAAGGAAAAATATTGGTCTGAAATAAAAGAGTTGATTGGAGATGCATTCATGCATGGAGTCGCACTGTAGTCAGTGTGATTTAGCCCAGGTCGTCTGAAAATATATTGTGTTCTCGATACTTTTTAAAAGCGTGTTGTGTTTTTAGCGACTTTCAAAGAATATTGTAATATTTAAATTAGACAAAAATAAATTCGATAAGACTCTATTTGAACCAATAATTGTTTTACAACACCACGAGTGTAAATCAGGCTATTTTCTATATTATTTAATGCTACAAATTAAGTTAGAGTTGTGGAGTACAGTGTATTTTCATCTGTGCACAAGATCTCTTTTTCAGGTGATTCAATTTTATTCTAAATACTAAATTCTAAAATAATTCAATTAAATTTAATTATGTCAGATTTATTATTATTTAATTTCATCTTATTTCATGTGATACTTATTTTTTATATAAATATAATAGTATAATTCTTATTTATTGAAGAAATTTTTTAATTAAAAAAAGTAGTTAGGATATAGAAGAGGTTGAAAATAATTTGAATTTTAAATTTATAAAATGTTATTTTGACGTATAAATAAAAGTGTAAACTACTAGGTTGACAACTTAACTATCTAGCCCTTTTTACTTTTGTCATCGATCTTTTAAATTTATCAATCATACAACATAATTATTTAACTGTTTCAACTAAGCCACTAGTCGTTACCAATTGATACAAATGATGAAGTGCCAGTTAAAAGGAATTGACATTATTATACATTCAGTCTTTATTATTTATATAATCAATTTGGTCCTAAATTAAATAGAATTTAATAAATTAATCATTTAATTAGGATCTGACATGTGTTAGCACATGATCATGACACGTGTCATTGGTGACACATGTCACCACCTAATTATTTATATATGCTATCAATTTGGTCCTAAATTAAATAAAATTTAATAAATTAATCATTTAACCAGGATCTGACATGTGTTAACACATGATCATGACATATGTTATTGGTGACACATGTCACCACCTAATTAGAAGAAAATTAAGTTACAAAGAAGTAAAATTTGGGTCTTGGGCAAACTCAAACCTGAGTCACGTAAATGAAAGATACAGGGTGGAGCCACTAAGCTAACACCATCGTTTGTGTTAAGAGATATACAATAATACATATACTAATAGTATGACCAATGCCAGAAAAAAAAGAATATAATGGAAAATGGAAATAATGAGATTTGAACTTCGGCAAAAAATTGAAAGCAATAAATGATGGGAAAATATTATATTTTTTTACAATAAAAAATATTATATTTGATAAATTGTTTGATAGATTTAATATATTTTTTAAATATTAGTTGATACAATATTTTAAAAGAATAAATTTAAGATTTATATATTTTTAAACTAAATTTAATAATTATATTTTTCATATTTATAATTCATGATATATAATCTTAAGTTGAGTATTTCTAATATAATTAATAATTTTAATTTCTTATTAAAAATAAAATATTCAAAAAATATAAATGATTCATACATTAATATATGAATATATTTTTTTATTTATACATCTAAATATAAATATACATTTATATAAATATATTTTTATTCGTATATTGAAATATTTTGATTAAAATATAAACATATTTTAAATACTAGTTTATACAAGAAAAATAAAATATATCAAAAATATAAATGATTCATACATTTAAATATAAATTGAATCATTTATATTTTCTATACATCTATATTTAATAAGAAAATAAAATTATTGGGGGACTGTTTTGCAAGTTTTAAAAGTTGGGGACCTAAATTCAAGTGCCTGAAAAGTTCAATGACCGTTTATATAATTTACCCTAATTTTTAACATTGATTTAAGTTGGGGGACCATATTGCAAACGGAATAAATATTGGGGGACTATATTGCAAGTTTTAAAAGTTGGGGGACCTAAATGCAAGCTTCAGAAATGTTCAGTGACCATTACTATACTTTACCCTAAAGATTATTATTGATTTTCGTTATTTTGTTTTTAATTATATTGAAGTTCATCATTACACTTTTTAATTATATTTGTTTCTAATAAAAATAATAAAATTGGAATCAATCTTTTATAAAATTGCTCTAATTTAAGCACTTGAATTAAAAAATTAACGTGATGTCATTATTAAAAATAATTATATAAATTATTTTTAATTTTTTAATTTGTAAGTTGCCACAATATAACAAATGAAAAAAGGACATATTATTTCTATTTCAACATTAGCTTTCTAATAATAAAATTAAAGTATAAAAATAATTTGTATAGGAGTGAGAGAAGGACACCGTCGTTATCTTTTTACGATCCATGATTTGAATGGTCAAGGTTCATATTTAACATTGGATGCCATCCACTTTTAGTTTATATTTACCATTATTTTTGTTTTGAACATGCTTCAAAAAAGGTATTTGAATTCAAATTCGCTCCCTTTGAAATTTTATAAATTCAAATTCGTCATTCTAACATAAAATCTTACGTTTGTCTCTGAATAAAATAATGCATCAAACAAATAAAATAATTAATTTACAAGATTATATGATTAGTTGGGTCGTGAAATTTGTCAAAGCTTAAATTTAAAATATTTACAACGCTTGATTATATGATTAATTTACGATTTATATGATTATATTTACGACGCTTGAGGTGTTCCTTGCATGGCGGTGAAACTTTGTTTTTAGCTGGCTTGTTTTCTCTCTTATTAAAATATAAGGGCACAAAGTATAAAATATTAATTATTAAAAAATATTGTAATATAATAAAACTTAAATTTACTCCGACGTTAATAAATATATTTTATATTTATTTTAGAATTTATCAAAGTGAACATAAACTCAAAGTTAGATAAAAATGAAGAAGAAAATAATATAATTAATTAAAGATTATAATAAACAATAATCTTATAAATTATTAATTGATAATTTAAACAAAATAATTTGAACTCAGTTATAATTTATAAAATAAAAATTGTAAAGACAATTCTCTCCGACTGTTCAAGTATATATATGCCCCATGTTACAAAAGAAAGTATATACACATGTAAGTACAGTCAAATATTGAAACCCGAATCGGAAATAGGTAATGATAGAACCACCCGCGAGGGCCCAAAAACACCCAACACTCACCCCCACGGGCTCAAAACTGTGCTTCATTATTGTTCACTAATACCTGCGCACGTATCAAAGCTTTAATCACCTTTGACCTATTTTTGATGTATCAATTTAATTTCTATATAATAATCGTAATCTTAGCTTCAGTACATTCCATATATTTCGACCTTCTCACTCTCCGTTTTCCAGTTTTATATTTCTTTTAGCTCAAGGGTTGGATCAATTTGAAGCCGCTTCTTCTGTTTTCTCGATTTGGTTTCTGGGGTTTCTTCTGCTTCATTCACATCTGTAAGTCGTCTCACGATTTTCATTTTCAATTTATCTGTTTTAACCGGTTTAAATTTCTTCCCTTTTTCGTTTAATTTTCTTGCTCTTTTTTATTTTTTAAAGTTTATATTTAGCTAATTTTTATAGCTTTGGGTAGTTTGTTTTCATGCGATTTCTCCTTTTTTTTTGGATACCGGAAGAAACCCTAATCAGATCCAATCTTAAAAGGTTTAAAAAAACTCACATCTTATCTCAACAGTTACAGTTATCAAGAGAATGAACTCTTTTACTTGTTCACTATCGTCTTCTCCCGTTTTTGTTTTGTTTTGTATTATTAGCTTAATACTACGTTTCTTCATTTACAATTTTGTATGCGATGTTAAAATAATGAATATATTGGCCATTGCAGGGTTCTTGAAAAGGTTGTTTTGGGGTAAAAGAGTTACCAAGAAACTGAAGTGTGGCAATTTTAGTTGAATAACGAACAGTATGCGGTGGTGGCTGAGTCTTTCCGTTGATGTCTTTCGAAAAGTTATCTCTTTGAACTTGTATTGCAGAGTGATTCTGTAATTCAGTAATCTATATTAGCAAATAGCAAGTACCCTTCCTCTTTACTCGCCTGTCTTTGTATTAATCGTTCATGGGATCCACTTTTTTCGTCGTCGTTCCATGTTATGTTCTACGGATCAGCTGAAAACCTTCAAATCCATTTCTCAAATTTCTAATCCAGGAGTTAGTGTTTTGATTTCAGTAGGGATAGCTTTTGTAGTGATATTTCAGTTTTATCGTTCTGGGTTACGGAGTTTAAACACGTCGTTGTCTGGAAGATATCTTGCTTTTTGTCATTTTGAAGGGTTTGGGACGTAGTTATGGTGTGCCAAGCAGCTAGCCAAACTAGATTCCGGGCATTGAAGTACGAAAATGGTATTGCAGGGAGTGCCACCATTGTAGTTAGAGTTATAGCATGCTTTCAACCTCTTCAGGATTGCCAGGTTCGTTTTTTGTTTGTTGTTTTTCCATTTCTTTATATTTTTGTACAATCCTTTATGAAGGAATTATATACACTTAGTTACATTTGTTTTCTTAATGTATGAGATTTCTTGTTCATGTTCTTTTTGTTATTTTACTGAATTTCCTCTCGTTGGTTTTTGCCAGGCTGAATATTTCCGTCATTTGCTTAAGCCGGTTACGTAGTTTAGTTTTACATTTCCGTGTTCAAGTTAAGCTGGAGTTGTTAGTTTTTTCCCTAGTTTTTGAGAGAAGCTGCAAGTAAACCGCTATTTCTACTGCCACAACATTTAACTTCTGGTACGCATTGCTTGTACTTGGTTTTATGATTATCTACTTTTTATTCTCGGAATATCCTTTTTCACATTGTTTTCGTTGTTCTCATAGGTGATAGTTCTGGTTGGATGGCAGAAGGCTGCGGATCCTGGTTTCCTCTGCAGCAATTTGATTGGCTATCACCCAAATTGAATACTTTGGCTGCTTCACATCCTTTGGGGCAGCAAAGTATTAATCCTCCATTCGTAAACTCTGGCACTAGTATGGTCTCTGCTACCGGGACTTTGCCGGTTTATGGATATCACGATTTACCTCATTTGCAGGTTGGTCAAGTTAATGAATCCCATGGTCGGTGTTACTATTTACCCCCCTCTCAACAGGTCTTTGCACCCGCTTCAAACACTTTCTTGAAAGAGCGACTCCCACCTGATCCTTATGGGAATCGTACGGAGAACATTGTCCCGAAGGCAGGGTCTGGGTGCAGTCAGAAGAGATTCCTTGTTTTTGACCAATCTGGTGGTCAAACTACCATGATGCTTAGTTCTTTTGGGACTCCTATTAAGTGCGGTTCTTTGGGTCCCAAATTTCCTTTTGCTTGTAACTTGAGTAGGGAGGATCCCTTGGCCAAAGTGAGCCTGAATCTTCACCCTGGACTAACCTCTAAAGGTGTATTTGACGACAATGGGACTGATGTGCAAAGTGAAATGCGCGAGGACACTGAAGAACTCAATGCCTTGCTTTACTCTGATGGTGATGGTGATAGCGATTACACCGAGGATGAAGAAGTTGCAAGCACGGGTCACTCTCCTAGCACAATGACAGCCCACTATGAGCAATCTGAGGAAGGTGCTGAAGGGGTTGCTAGTTATACTGGCCTAACCAAAAGGCGAAAACTGCTCGATGGCAGTAATGGTTGTATGCAATTCCCTGTTAACAATACTAGTTCAGTGAATCACAGTATATGTTCTGAGCTCGAGGATGATGCTGATTCCAGTTTTACCAATGGCCAAAATCCAGTATCCGATGATATGGATTCGTCTTCAGGCAACAAGAGAATGTGGGTAGATAAAATTCGTGAGACTGTGAGTGTATTAAGAAGCTTAATTCCAGGTGTTGGGGGAAAGGATGCTGTTATGGTTCTTGATGAAGCCATTGATTGCTTACATTCTCTGAAACGTAAAGCCGAAACCTTGGGACTTGGTACTCTATGAGTTGGCACCGTTCATGTTAGTAGTATTGGTGTATAGCATGTCATAACTAGTCATTGTTAATGGAGCATAATTGAAGTTTGGGCAGTCATGTTTGGAGATGCATGCATTACAGATGACCTGGAGTCTACCAACAAAGGAGATGAAGATCCAAAGATAGTGGAGAGAGAATTGAATTCAAATTTGCGTTTCTTGAATGATTTGAGCTGGAAACCAGTACCTTTAGCTTGAAATCTCACTGTTTCATGAGAAAGCAGGATAGTGAATCATGAGCCTTGGGGTTTAGTAAAAGTAACAACACTCACAGCCCGGCATGAGAAGATTGGTTAATGGAAGAGGGACCCTCATAAGGGGTGCGCTAAGGGCATGCCTCTTAGGTGTTTTGGGTCCCAATCCTCACTTTCTTCATCCTTTTTGTATTGTTGTCAAGCTTAAGTTAATCCTTGTGGCGTTCCCTTTTTCTTTGATGTAGAAAGCTGCACGAGCAAAATGAGCCAATCTCCAATTTCATCATCCAACAACTGTGAAGGGGTCCCAAGACGTTGAGTTGTGATGCTCCAGTACTTTATTTGTTTTCTCTGTCTATTTGAAAACTAAACATTTATGTATTTGTAGTTGCTTTTGTGTGCTGGTGCTACCATTGGGTTATCAATGGTGTGTTTTAGCTTTGAGATTGTAAATTGTAATGTATTGATGGCTTAAGCAATCATTCATGGTTGGATGTAATTAAATGTTCAATAAATGGCATGCGGTGTTGTGTTCTTCAAACTATGTATTTACGTGGCATGCATGAAGGAGACTGATGTCTTATAGCTCGGCTCACTTGCAAAAGAAGGTAGCAAATCCTTTAGCTTGGTTCGTGCATGAAAAGGAAAGCACCAAATCATTGATACGTATTACTCCAATTCAGTTTAATTCTTATTTTGTGAAATTTCTATTCAATTTTTCATGGAAGGGCGTCACTTCGAAGCATTCATATGGTATTTTTCTTTTTTCTTTGCTGAAATGATGTCATGAGGAGATTTCTCATATGCCGGAGATATACGCAGCTCATTGGGGTACTCGGAGCACGTGTCAAATATACGCAGCTCATTGGGGTACTCGGAGCACGGATCAACGGAGTTGACAGTTGAATCCTAAGAAAGATGCTCAACTAGCAGAAAATGAGTTTTGTATCAGAGCTCATATAGGATTCAATGTGGTGAAGTCTAATCAAAAGATATATTTCGTCAAGTGTATAAACAATAATGTCGGGTGTAAGTGGAGGATACATGTCTCATACCTTCAACGAAAGATGTTGTGGCAAGTGACAATGTTCTACAACCAACACATTTGTACTTTGAGTTCCTTGACACATGACCACAAATACTTAAATTCTAATGTCATGTGCATACGTCAAGCTTTTGGTGAAGAAAAATCCAAGGATCCTAGTTTCAATGATAGTGACATCATTCCAAAATATATTTGGTTATATTCCATCTTACTACAAGTCATGGATGGAGAAAAGGAAAGCTATGACACTATTATACAATGATTGGGATCAGTCGTACAATGAGCTCCCACATCTGTTGCACTCAATGAAAATTTTCATCCCAGGAACCATTGTTCGCTCTTCTACTTATCATGCGACCACATTTGATAGACATGTTATTCCAAGGAAAAGAGTTTTTGGAGGCTTGTTCTGGGTTTTCAAGTCATCCATTGAAGGTTTTCGTTACTACAAACAAATGATTCAAGTGGATGACACTTTTCTCTATGGCGTATAAAAAACACGTCCTAATAATAGCTGTTGCACAAGATGGTGATAGAAACATTTTTCCCATTGTGTTTGCCATTGTTAAAAAAGAGTATGAGGAAACGTGGAATTTCTTTTTGTTAAACTTGTGTTCCCATGTTGTCACATAAGATGGAGTTTGTATGATCTCAGACCGTTCACCTGGGTTGTTGGCCACGATTGGCAAACTAGGTAGTATGTGGTCACCTCCCCATGCATTTTCGGCGTATTGCATACATCATTTTACATCCAATGCTATGGCGAGGTTAAGAATAAGAAGATCAAGAAAGAGAATATCAACATGGGTAACTTATTCTTTTAATTCCTTTATTTATGTTCTTCATTTATTATTGTACTTAAATCTAACTTTTTTAGGATATGCTTTACTACAACCGAACTTCAGTGTAAGGCTGGAAAATTTTAGGAAATATGTAGAAGAGGTTTATAAGTTTGTAGCTAAAATACATCGAGAAAGATTATCATAGACATATGACGATCATGGTCGACGTTATGGTCATATGACAACTGATCTTGTTGAATATATCAAATCAATGCTTAAAGGGACAAGACATCTTTCAGTAGCAAGTATTGTTTGGGAGACTTACTTCAGATTGGGTAATGTATGGGTAGACAAAGGTGCCCAAGTAGAGACAATGATCAACGAAGGCAAAAATTGGGCTCTAGATCTGGAGAAAGCAATGAACAAAAATCAAACACATGCAACATCAATGTATGTTCATAATTTTTCCAGACTCGATTCTGATTACGTTGTTCAAGCACTAGTTCGACCACATGAGGGTGGAAATTCTACCACCTACACTCGTAATCTTAATAGAAGATGGTGTGATTGTGGTCAATTTCAAGCCTTCAAATACCCATGCGCTCACGCGGTTGTTGCATGTATGCATGTGAATGTAGACCCATACTCATATGTTGATGATTTTTATAGCATACATGTAGTCACTGCAGAGGTGAAGGCCACAACAGGAAACACGGTTCACATCTTTCAAAATATCGACGAGCTGATAAAACCTTCGTAATTGTATTCTCATGTTGTCTGTTGTATCTGTTTTGGATAATTTATCAATATCAATAACCATATTTATTTATCAACATCAATAACGTTTAACTAAACTCAAATTCATACACACACACACTCACACATATAATATTTTTCAACAAAATAAATAACTTTTCCTCTTTTTCTTTCTCTCAATTTTTACATTATTATTATTATTTTTAATTCCTCTTTATAGATCGTTTGCTATGTCGGTTTGGTAAATCTTCATTCTTCTCCTCCTTATGTTGATCAAGAATTGAATTTATTTACTCTTTTACCCACTCCTCATATAAAGACGAGCTTGAATCCATATCATCAATGTCAGAGTAATCAGACCCAAAATGATCTTTTGAATTTTTTTTGAAATATTCTTCCCACAAATGCATGATTTGGTTATCATATAACTCTATCAACTCACTCAACTCTTATTTATAGTGATTTTTTTTAAAATGACCGTTGGAACTCATCACGACCACATGACGAGTTACAACGGCTACAAAAAGCTAATTTTCAAATATTTCTAAATTGATATATATTTAAACCAAAAGAACTCGTCACCTTGAGGTGACGAGTTCAATATATTTTCTTCCAATTTTCTAAGTAAATAATTGTAAAAAATAATTTAATGGAATTCATCATCTCAAAGATATAAATTTCGTATAAATTAATTAAATAATAAACACATAATATAATGATAATATTCTTCGAAACTCATCTCCTCGAGGTGACAAGTTTCCATGTACCGTAGAAAATATCGTAGATCTCCAAATAAATTTCTGACAATCTTACATCCCAAAATTTATTTCCGGGTTGCCCTGCCTTGTTGGGCCGTAAAAACCTAATTTTTTAGGGTAAACTATACGGACAAGGACAAAGATAGGATCAAACATTGGAATGGGCTAATTTTCTTTACAATGTAAGAAAAAGGTTCAATGAAGTATTTAAATATCAAAATTGGGAGGGACAAAAGTCTTATTTAACTAATATTTAAACTAAAAAGAACCTAAAACACTATTACACCAAAAACTTTGGGAGGGCCAACAACCCTTCCCACCTCCTTAATAGCTCTGTCCCTGTACACACGGATGATATTTTAACTATTGTCCAATTTCATTTTGATTATCTATGTTTCGATTTCATTAATTGGACTATCAAACTGTTTAAATGTTTCAATCAAGCCACTACTGTTATCTTTTAAAGAGATGGTGACTTGATAATTAATAAAATTAGTATAATTATATATTTGGTCATCAATACTTGCATATTTTATCAATTTAATCATAGTTTTAATTTAATTTAAAAATTAATCTCCAATCTAAAGGTGTCACGTGTCAATGGATTATTATTATACATTTCTAGGTGACACATGTCACCATACATGGGACATCCAAATTAGGGACTAAGGGTGTCATAGGAAGGCCTTTACCGCTGGGTCAAACCATCCATTTGATATTAGATTGAAAAATCTTTTATATATTATGTATGCGAATATTTTACACATATATATTTATATATTAAATTATTAAAACAAATCTAATAAATAAATTATATTTCACACACATATATATATTAAATTATAGTTAAAACACGATTTAAAATAAAAATGAGTTTAATATTTTTATTTTTAAAATTAAATTATTTTTTCTTTTTCAAATTTATTTTTAAATAATAATATATAAGGCATATTAAAAAAATTATATTAAAAATTACAGTAAACTATACTATTGACCACTCAACTATTTAACCATTTTACTTTTATCAACGATATTTCAATTTGTCAATCATACCACTTAATTATTTAATTATATTCAATTAAACCGCTAGCCATTAACATTTAATGGTATATATTTTGTATCACTGTGTAAATTCTTAATATTTAATATACTTCAATTTAAATTCACATACTAAATTAAATCCATATCTTAACATTAAAAAAATATATTATTTTTATCTTAACTTATTTAATATATATTTTTATTTTAATATAAAAAACATTTTAATCTTATTTTAACTTAAAAATATATCTTACTTAAAAATATATCTTATTCTTATTTTAAAATTTTAAAAATAATATATTTTAAGTTAAAATATATTAACTATAAAAATATATTTAAAAATCATATATCTTATTCTTATATTATTTTAATATTAAATTAACTTTCAAAGTTAAAATAAGACTCAAATATATTTTTAAGTTAACATAAAATAAAATATACTTAATAAGTTGAGATTAAAATAAAATATAATGTTAAGAGGTGAATTTAATTTAGTATGTGAATTTAAATTAAAATATTAAAAATTTACATAGTGATACAAAATATATAACATATTTTGGGCGTTTTTGGCCCATTAATGCAAATAGGAAAAAATTAGGGTTTTAGGGCACATCGACTTTTAATTAGGGATCTACGGTATTTGCTACAGTACCATGAAACTCGTCACCTCAAGGTGACGAGTTCCAAGGGATATTATTTTTTATTACGTGCGTATTATTTTATTTTTTTAAGGTGACAAGTTCCTTTAAGATATTATTATATTTTTTTTGCAGTAACATATTTAAAATTAGAATTGAAAAAAGCGTTGGAAATCGTCACCTCGAGGTGACGAGTTCCATT